TCCCTCATTTAAATAAATGTAGAATTTATATATCTCTGTGTGTGGAACTGATAATCATTCTTTCACAATCTACTAGATACAGACTACTTCATTATAAAATAAACAAATATGAAAAAATATAGGCCTATGTATATTTATAATCTATGACAAAAATGTATCATAAACTAGGTTAGTGGATAATTCGGCAGCAAAAGTTATTCTAGAAAAATCTGGCACAATAATTTTAGAAATCCAAACATTTAGTGAAAAAACTATTTTGTGGGGAACAAATAAAAGTGTTGCACTAAATATGGTAAAATGTTACACATTGCTATTTGTATTATAAAATCCATTCATTAAAAACATTCATGAATGCATTTATATATAAGTATATACTATAAAATTAAAATACATTTATTTTAAATGTATAGCATATTTTTTAATAAGGCAACAACATATGATAGATACGATAGGACAAAACAAATACAGTGCAGCACGAACTGTTTTTATACAGTCAACCCTCAACGGACACCTTGGCAATTGAATCGCCATTGGCTAGTATATTTTTTTATGTGTATATATATATGTATTTGTAAAATGGTACACCTTTTTAAATATCTGAAAATACACTCTTAATATCAGTCAGTCAAGCATTATAATTAGGGATGCACCGATACCACTTTTTCCAGTACTCGCCCGATACGATACTTTTATTTTTGGTACTTGCCGATACCAAGTACCGATACCAATATTTTATTGCATTTGTAAATTAAAAAAATATTGGGTACAGAAATCAAAAGAGTATGTATAATGTTAGTTGGTTAACTTCATTTATCAAATAGATAGTCAAACCAAAATTTATTCAGACACCTTCAACATTTCTCACATTATCACAGTTTATTCGCTATAGTTTAGAAAATGGTAATAAAATATAACAAGAACTCAAAGTTAAACTGTCAGAACAAATTCAGCTTGATAATGTTAGATAACTTTGATAGAAAGGTATGTAGCCTAATGGATTACAATCAACCAAAAAATTGGACAGCTGTTAGTATGACAGTATTTACACAACTATCAATACTTAGTCGGGCAGCCCTTAGCCTTAATGACAGCCTGTAGTCTCCTGGGCATGCTGTCATCCAGCTTCATGCAAACCTCAACTTCATTTTTTTCCCCCCAGACCCGGTCTGAATAATTTTTGGTCCCAAATTTGTATCCGTTTTACTGGTAGTCCACTGTATGAAGAAATGTTGGGTATAATTTGTCACAGTTTACTTTAAGAATCAGAATCAGAAGAGCTTTATTACCAAGTCTCCATTTCAGTTATTTGTTCGGCCAGCTGTTGCATCGCGGCGCTCACGTACGCGTCCGGAGGCACGCACACATTCACAAGAATGAAAGAGGAAAACTCCCGCTGCGAGTAGAAAGGTTTACGGTTTATGATGAGTGCCTCTAAATTAGGACAATATACCTTTTTTCAGCGTTGTTACATCTGAACACCAACTTTCGTTGATGTAGAAACATAATCCACCACCTCTGGTTTTCCCCGTTAACTCCGCGATGCGATCCGCTCTGAACAGCTGGTAGCCAGGCAGATGAAGCGCATTGTCCGAAATGGCTTCACTCAGCCAGGTTTCAGTGAAGCACAGTGCAGCAGAGTTAGAAAAGTCCTTGTTGGTGCGGGTGAGGAGAAGAAGTTCATCCGTTTTGTTAGGAAGGGAACGGACATTCGCGAGATGAATGCTTGGGAGTGCAGTCCGAATGCCGCACGCGCAGAGATTCACCAGGGCGCCGGCGCGTTTCCCTCTTCTACGTCTGCACGCGCGTTTGAACAACACCGCTGTACCTCCGACTAGAATGTCCAACAAAACATCAGAATAATCAAAAGCCGGAAAAATATTGTCTGGGGTGTGCTGCTTAATGTTAAGGAGTTTGTCTCTGGTAAAACTTATAGAAGAAGAATGACAAAACACAGAACAAACAAACAAAAACAATAGAAGAATCACAGAGCTCAGCGTCCCGGCTGCCATTTGCGGCGGCATCAGTTTGGTCAATTTATTTTGCTATCTTCACTTACATAAATGAACTATAGTGTCCTGCACCCACTAGTAAAAAAATATCAAAAATTATATCTGGTCTCTGAATAATTTTTGGTTTGACTGTATATCCTTTGGTTATTTTCACACTTAATTATGCCCATTAAAATGTATTTTACAAGTTTTAGTTACTTTCACTGTTCATTTTTTGCTCTATGGTACATCATCTTTAATTTAATAGCATTAGAGCTGCTCCATTGCAGTGGCTTAGTACTGTAATCACACGCTTTGCTGTAATAGTGCAGGGAACTACTCGCTATAAATCTCCTAACTGATATTTTCAGAAATAGAAGTTGCGTTTTTTCATCTGAAACGTGCTGCGATTTATATTCCAAAGCCACTCATATAATGCAGAAACACTCAAGCAAGCAAAACGCGCAGCGCGTGCACATATTTGTACTGGTGCGGAATGAGAGGGACAAGTAGTACAGCGCATTTCACACAGGCTGCTAGATTCACTTTCGCCAGAAAGTCGTATGCCCAAGGTTAAAAATAAATGACGTTTATAGTGAATGCCCCTATAAATGGTCTTATTTTTACGATTTAGTTCTAATCCAAATGATGCGTGTGCTAAGTGAGCAAACATCAAAGATCAGATCACACAATAGAAGTGCGTGCACTCTCTCTCTTTCTCTCTCTCCCTACCGTTAAGCAACTTGTGCATTGTTTTACTTGTTTTTGACACATCCGACCGAACTATAAACTTTCCAGTGATGTCTGTGAGAAAGGTATATTCACTCGACAAGCTCGTGGATCTGCGCCGCTGCGTGCTCAATCCACTCAGCGCGCTTTGTTTATCAGCTCGCGCACATCAGCAGTACAGACGTTAATATTGAAAGTTTAACATTATATTCATTGCATACATATACTTCGTAGACATCCTTAATCTCTTATAACTCCATTCTGCTGTCTGTTGTTCTGTTGTCAGTGCTTCTTTGTCTGAATATGGCACTTATCACATGCTGTGTGGTATCGGCATTTGGTATCGGGGCATTTTAACGAGTACGAGTACGAGTACAGGAGCTCAGTATCGGGCCCGATATCGCTATCGGTGCATCCCTAATTATAATATTATAATCAAGTATTATTTAATAATAGAAGTTTAGTAATTAGAATTAAAACTTGGTAACCATGAACTTAGGACTGGTGCTGGTGCTTTTTTTGGTCATTCAGTGTTCCTGTAAAAAAATTAACAATAACACTGATAAGATATTGTTATTATTATTATACGGATTCTACTAATAAGAACAGTATAAAAATGCATTAAGGATTAATGAGCTACTGGATTCATGAATATTAATCGGGTTGTGTGCGTTTGCTCGGACTGATTCGCTGAAATCAAAACAGGGACGATAATAGGTGAGCACCAGCCAATGAGATTGTCGTTTGCGCATTAGTTCCGCCTTCTACAGGAAAACCCGGCAGTTCTTAAAAGCTGAAGAATTCCAAAGGAAGAGAAATTGATGCGTAGTGTATTATATCTGTGCAACAGTTATTGAGCCTTTCTTTGAACAGTTTTAAATTTCAGTTACTGTGCATGTTAAAAACTATTTATAGTCTTTTCTACGCCCGTGTTTTGTTCTCACAGACATCCGGTAGCAAGTAACAAAACATTAAACTCCGGCAAGAAGATAAAGTCCTTTTTGCAAAATCATAGACATGTATTTACAAATCAAGTATAATGGGAACACAGAATGATCTTGGAGAGAGAGCTTTACCGAGCTGACTGCTGTAACCGAACGCGACCAGGGTTTAAACTTTAAAGGCCGAACGACTGACTGACAGCCACAGCGGAGAAAAGAGTTTGTGTGAACTTTAATGTAAGGACTTAAATATTCATATGTAGCTCACATTAAGCTATCGTATGGCTTCAGAAGTAACACAGAATAATTCGCACAATCGAGAAAAATAAATAAATAAAAAATTCTCGGATTTGGATCGGCTCTCTCTGACTGATACCCGATCCGAGAAAAATGGCACTATCGGAGCCGATACCAGATATGAATATCGGATCGGCGCATCCCTACTCCAGCGGTGACACAATGGCGGACTGATGACAGCTCACTCAGGGCGGGTCTGAGGTAAGACACCAGTCCAGTCTGTGCTGAAACGCTACTGTCAATCAAACTATCGTGGGAGGGGCCTGTCTGTGTGACGTCACACAGACAGGCATCTGAGATCGGCTCGATTTGAGAAAGGGGAAAACATTTAACTAGATTAAAAAAAAACACTGGGTGGATTTTATCATTATAGGGTGGTTGTGTACACACACATGTAAAAGTGCATATGTAGCATCCTATGACCCCTTTAAATATGTGTTTCTTTGTCCGAGAGAGATGGGTAAAGGGCACTTTTGCAGAAATCTCCCTCTTTCTAGTGTCTATATATACACACACACATTCTAATACGAATGCACGTAAATAACCCAGTACGCACAATAATAACACTATAATTACATATGTTGTTTTGTTCTCGTTGAAAGTGCGTTAATACAAAGAAGCTGAGATTAATCATGATAAAACATTTTAATTGACTGACAGCACTAGTATACAGTGTATTCATAATATATTTTGATGAGCTTTCTGATTTGATGGATGAAATCATGCATTTTCATAGTGCCTAATGCTCTCCATCAGATACCACTGCATTTACCATGGGACTTCATGTTTGCTTATTTATTCTCACAGTTGTCCTCATCAGACTTTGTTGCAAGTGTCTGTGTTGCTGGTAAGTGTTAAAGAGCTGTGCATGTTGAGAGTGAGAATGAGAGAAAAACAGACAGACAGGGAAATCAGAGAGGCGACAGGGGGGTTGTATGTCTGCTTTTACAATGACTGTCTTGTCAAATTGTGTTTGAATGAAGAGGGGAGTAAAAAGGAAGAGAAGAGTGAAAAATCCACATGCTCCTTTTTTTGTTTCTTTCAGGCTGAGTCACTGTCGAGGAGTAGGAAGATCTAGTGAGAGAGAGGGAGACAACATCACGGAGACAGCGGAAGGAGGGGAAAACCGCTACACAACGCCTTTGAGAGTGAAGCAAGAGAGAGAGGCAGCCAGCGAGAACGACGGAAAGAGAGAGACCGAGCGCAGCAGTGAGGGAGGGAGAGAGACGCTGAGGCTGGGAGAGCTGACCCCCCTCTCCTCTCCTCTCCTCCCCCCCCCCCTCCTCACTCCTTCAGGAGCTGGTGTGTAGGAGCGGCGAGTACAGTGTGACTGAGGCAACATGAGCGATGTCACCATCGTTAAGGAAGGCTGGGTCCAGAAGAGAGGTAAGTAGCTTGTCTCTGCCTGCGTGTTGATCAGCTAGCTGGGTCGAGGAAGCACTCATGTAAGCGTGTGTCTCCAGAGACGGCTCTCCGTCATGGGCGGACCACGGCATGGCTTCAGTCTGTGTCTGTGGAAGCCGGCATGTGGGTGTGCCTCTTCGTAAGCTGTGTTTAGTGCTAGTGTGGCGTTTTAGAGAACATGCGTGTGTGTTCGTGTGCGTCTGCTGGAGGAGCAACTGCATCCAGATTGGTATCCGTCATTTCTCACTGCACTGCTCTCACGTGCCGGGCTGCTATGTTTGACGGGGTTTTCTGTGCATGCTTGCACTCATTCTGATGCATAATGCTCGGTTTGATTAGATTATATGGTGATGTTAATTTATTTGATCAGTACGTCTGGAAAACAAGTTATGTTTAATAATGCTTTTTTTGGTATAATATTTGTGGACTGCAAGGGCTGTTGTGTACAAATAAACACACTCTTTTGTAAGTCAAAGTTAATGTGAAATCCATGTGGGAAGCTGCTCTAGGTGTCCTTATGGGGACATAGTGACTCTAAACCTAGGGTACTTGAACCAGGTTGTCCTGCTTTTAGTTTTGCTTGTCTCACTCTCGCTTGTAAAGGCATACACGTGCCTTGTAGCTTCCCTATATGTGTATCCATCCATGCTGACAGAGATATGCAGCAGCCAAAAGCCACTCGTTTTCAGAGAAAGTTTGTGATTTGGTGATGCAAGCAAAAGTAGCTGTTGGCGAAACGATTGTTCAGTAAAGTTTGACTTTATGGGTTGAACCTGCCTGGTTTTTATGAAGTCGGACTGTCAGATAATGTGATTGAAGCATCCATCATGGATACAAATTAATTGAATGTATACGGTTGACCTGGGTGATGCACTTAAGCTGAAATAAAGATGTGGCACCGAATGCATGTTTAAGCCTCCAAATATTTGATTACTCATTGATTATATCTTGTATACTTAGACAAACAGGTGAGTTCTGTGGCTAGACTATGCAAAATCCCACTCAAATATAACTGCAAGTAAATGTGAAGTTCATGGGATCCGACATCTGGTACTCTTTGAAAGTCATGGAAAAGCAATGAACATTCTTATAGTGAATTAAGAAAGTTTTGTTCTGCCCTAAAGTATTGCATTGGCTGGATATAGTGTAAAACTGGCCCCCAAACCAACGTCATAACATTGATCTGTTTGTTCAGGGTCTTATTGGAGACATTTGTAAGCTAATAAGTAAAGGCTGGAATACACGACACGATGTTTGCCCCGATTTTCTGCTGACTTAGTCAAGTTAAGTTGAGGTTAGTTGCCGAAAGTTGACATTTCATAGAAAATCGCATAGTGTATGATGGTCACAGACAGATTTTTTTAGCTTCAAACTTTGATTCCATCCAGTCTGAGGATATCAAACAGGTTTGATATTTTGAGACAATTTTAGAAAACATTGTTTTCATTTGTCATGCATCTCCTAGCAACAAGATGCACGTTTCTGCCTGAGGCTACGTTTACACTAGTGCGTTTTAGTTTTTAAACAGCGTTTTAAAATGAAAATGATCCTACACTAACGTTTTCACTGCATTTCAAAAAAACGTCCACACTACACAACCGAAAACGCAGGTCACATGACCATTCATGCAGGTACAACAATGTCATTGTTTACACGGTCGTCAAGGATACGCAGAGAGAATGTGGTAATCCACAACATCGTTTTCAAAAGTCTCCATTTTGGTCCGTTTACACTGAAACGCAACCCCGGAGTTTTCAAATTAAAACGGGGTCTGCAGTAGGGCAGGGTAAAAAATATAGATGTCTAGATATTAATCAATTCTCATTTTCACGGAACGATATCGATTCTTAAATCCCAAGAATCAAATAGTCTAGCCTGTTTTCAATTAATGGTATGTATAGATTCCCTATTATTTAGATGGCGGACGCGTCTGTGTGGTTGGTGTGGTCGAATGGGGAATCTACCTAGACATATCTATGGGTACAACAATGAGCAGATGTTATTGTTTACACCGGTCGTCAAGGATACGCAGGGAGAATGTAGGCAGCCACGCCATCGTTTTCAAAAGTCTCCATTTTGGTCCGTTTACACTGAAACGCAACCCCGGAGTTTTCAAATTAAAACGGGGTCTGCAGTAGGGCAGGGTAAAAAATATAGATGTCTAGATATTAATCAATTCTCATTTTCACGGAACGATATCGATTCTTAAATCCCAAGAATCAAATAGTCTAGCCTGTTTTCAATTAATGGACGGAACGTTGAAGGGCACTTCCCATCCAATATATGACTGTGATCATATACTCATTAGTTAGAAAAATAAACTGTAAAGAGGGTCATTTTGCTAAATATATGCCATATAACATATTCATTATAATTTTTACTGTTCTTCTATGTTTCATTTATTTTTGGATAAATCCAAGTTTTTATGACAGCCACCATTGTTTATATATATATATATATATATATATATATATATATATATAAAAACTAATTGAAGTAGAAATATTATGTAATTGTTACTTTATTATTTAAAAAAAACTTAAGTGTAATTTTAACAAATCAGTCAATTTTAACCTTCAATATTATAGTAATGTAGTACCAACTGACCC